TGCAGCACTGAGATCCAACAGGATGAGCAAAGATACAAGTCCATTATCTGATGCCATGAAAATATCATTAGCAACCATCACCAGAGCTGTTTCAGTGATATGATGAGCTCTAAAGCCAGACTGAAACTCTTCAAAAAGTTCATTATGGTGTAAGTGATCGCACACTTGTTTGGCAACTACTTTCTCAAGAATTTTAGATAAGAAAGGAAGATTGGATATAGGTCTATAATTCACCAAGTCATCTGCATCAATAATTGATTATTCACAATTAAAACTATTAATTGTTTTGCTCACGAAACTCACTTTTAAACTGGAAGTCACCTCCAGCAGAACCAGAACCAGGCTCATATGTGTCTGTTGTTAAATAACAGGCAGTGCAGCTTTTTGGATATTTCAGGAGGAAATCGATATCAAAAAGGGACAAGGTTTTTCCACCCATTCCATTTTTAGGTTGCTATAAATGGCGAATTAAAAAAATTAATTTTATTACAGAATAACGTGATCACACCTTCAAAAAGTCCTTCCTTAATTCCTGCGAACAGATTACATTTTTATTGATTTTACAAATTAGCTCAGACTTTTCCTCACTGTTAATGAGGACAGGGTGACGTCATTGGATTGCTTTGAAATGAAGGGAATCATTCTTCCCTCATGGTTAATTTATTCTGTCATCATTACTAAACATCAAAATACTAACGTATTTGGCTGCTAGTTGAAACCTCAGTAAAACTCTACCCAAGTCCGTCTTTTATTGAATTCCTAAAACCTGAAAAAGAAAAGTTCAATACTTGTTAGTCTTGGGGATGTCACTTAAAATGTACAGTAACTAGTTAAGGATACTAGTTACTTCACCAAAATACGACTAAAATGATATGACTGGCATAAAATCAAATACAAACAGCATAAAAATAAAACAACAAGCCGGTCCCATCGAGGCGTAACCGGAGAAAATGACAGACGCAGTGTGCTCCTGATGTCCAGTCTGTTCCATAGGTTTGTTTTGGTCGCTGTAACCGCAGAAAATCCCGCTTCACAAAGATAGGATGTTATAGATAGGATGAGTCTTGATCTGAATTAACCTGTGTCATTAGGCACAGATGCACCGACTGATGTAATTGGGACAGAATACCGCAATTTTTTATATTTTTCAAAATGAAACATCACTCAGACTCTGATCGTTGATAAATTATATAAATATATATATATATACTTTTTTCTGTGTGGCCCGGTCCCAAATGACCGACGGTGGTTGGGGACCGCTGCTTTAGAGCACTTTTCTGTCACTGTATCAGTGGCTCTGGAACAGGAACCTCCAAAATTATAAGTCTGTCATGAGGAGCAAACTGCTAAAAAAACGAAGCATCACTTTCTGATGGAGTGCTTCCCATGAAAAAAGACCTTCCTCAAATATAAAACCTTTTATTCTACCTAAATAAGCAGCTGCCCATTGTTTTCCTTTCGCTAGGTTTGAAGCTATTTTGTCACACTGAATAGTAAAAATAAAAACATTTTTAAGGCAATCAAAGTTTCAGACCTAAGGCTTCAATGTTCCAAAGGTCAAACAGGGCGGAGTTGACATTATGCTGTGCAGCTTGTTCACTGCAGGTAGTACTTTTATGCAACATGATGTGAAGAGATAAAAAAGGAATATTTACATCTTTTATAACTTAACATCAAATAAACGGCAAAACAAATTTGAAACTATGAGAATAACACACACATGGGGGCTCCTCTTCCCTCTATTAAAGACATTTCATCCCAGCGCTGCGTGTCCTGAGCCCGTGACATCATCAATGACCCCTCACCCCCCCACCATGGACTGTTCTCCCTGCTGCCCTCTGGGAAGAGGCTTCGCAGCATTCAATGCAGGACCAGCAGGTTCTGCAGCAGCTTCTTCCCCACCACCATCACACTGATGAACTGTTGAGAAAACTTTAAATCATGTCACAGACTCTTCATCACACTGATAACACTTAACCTAAATACTGCATATTTGCACCATATATATTAATGCTCTGAACTTCCATATTAATGTGGTTTATTTGCACCATGTTTTTCTTTCTCCCACACTGTTTACATTTGATCACTTCTGAACTTTATGGAATGAAAATGTTCATTAACTGTCTGAAAAGCTGTACTAAATGAAATGTAACTACAATAAGAGTCTAAGTCCAATAAAATCGCAGTATTGCTTGAAAATAATCTAAATTTTGATTCTTGGCGAAACTGTTCATCCCTAACAGTTACCATGGAGACTCTGGGTTCCTTCTCTGATTAATGTTCAGGTTGCCCAGCTGGTGAATTTAGGTGGACGGCCATGTCTCTGGTTTCCATGTTGAGGAAGAACATAGAAGGAGTTTGGAAGCGAGCTAGATGATAAATTGAACAGAGGTGTTCAAAACCCATTTACACAGGGACAGATAAAACATTTTAACAAACCAAACATTATCTTCCTGGATAACCATTCAAAACAACTATTTTCATCATTTCAGACAAAAATATTCACCTTCTTGTATTATATTAAACTGCACTTCCAATATTCACAGCTGTTTGGCGCCATTTCCTTTTTTCCTCTGAGCAGCTGTTTTCCTCCAAACCTCTGAGGCCAGAAGCAGAATGAGTCCCGCTGCAGTTAGAGGTTATAATTTGATGAAATCTCCAAAAGTTCAGGGATAATATTTAGCTCATTTAGCTCAAAGCCCTGCCTGAGTCGTTCTTTTTTTCAGCCATTTTTCCAGTTTTACTCTCCTGCATCTCTTAGTTGAGTTGTGATGTTCATCCACTATGATATTTATCCTAACTTCCTGTCTGCTCGTCCTGCTAAAGCTAACACAACAACGAAGCTGTTGATGAACCCATTGACCGAGTGTTATTATAAAGCAGGAATGCCAGAGGGAACGTCGGCCAAACACGTGTGTAACATTCGCTCTGCATTTCTTAATACACAGAGACATTTTTCAGCGGCTGCACGAGTTCTGCTCCGAAAGCGCAGTGACACAAATTCTGAACGGGTCACACAGTTCAACCGTCAGGGTGGGGAAATATGCTTTTCCTTTTATCGGGAGCGTCCATTGGTGTCCAAGAGGTGCAAACGCACTGCAAGGACATAAATACTCTCTATCTTTCTGAGCTTACCTGTGTTTATGTGTGTTACCATCACGTAAACCAGAGTTTACTTAATTAGAAGCAGGTGGCAGTTATCAGCAAGTCTAAGTCATTAAGCTTCTGGAAAAGCCTTCCTAATTCCCCTAACTAAACATTATTAGACAGTTTTGGACTTTGCTTTAAAAGAAAACAGATCCACGTTAAGAATCGGACAAATTTAGTGACCTTCAGTCAGAATTATTCCATAATTATGGTTACAAAAAAGCTTGGGGTTGTTTGACAAACCTGCTAAGTGACATTTAATAAAACATTAAATAAGCAGGGGTGTCTGGTCTGTATAGTACAAAAAATGACACTTTGGAAATAATCCAGGATGCATTTAAACTTCAGCACCTAATGATGGTTATGTAAAATCACTAAAGCTTGGCGCTGTAATAGTTCCAATAAATCCCTAACAGCCTACAATGAATATGACCTTTATGCCAATAATGACTAAATGCAAACTGCTGACCGTAAACTGCACCCAGCAGTCTATGTGACAGCTTTATGGCTGTTTTCACTAACAGCTGTGTGAAAAGGTGGTTTCAAACAAAGCAGGAGTTGTGCCAGAAGCTGAATCCCACCCTCCTCTGTCCTCTTACACAACCAGCAAGTCCATAATTCCCCTCTCCAGAAAGTCAATTAATAACTGAAAAGGTTCAGCTAATAATTATATGAAGGGTGAACAATGTATAGGGAATGGTTTAATACATATTGCACTATTTCCTCTCTGAATCTGCCCGATAAGTCTTTGTAATAAAGGGAAAACAGGGCCTGTTGTGTCTGCCAAGCCATGACCCTGTTGTGTCGTCTCCCACCCTCTCCCTGCAGGCCATGTCTTCAACATGCCCCATGACAATGTGAAGGCATGTGAGGAAGTATTTGGGAAACTGAAGGACAACCACATGATGTCTCCCACACTGATTCAGATTGACAGGAGTCGGCCTTGGTCAGTGTGCAGCGCAGCCATCATTACCGAGTTCCTGGACAGAGGTCACGGTGAGTCGATGCTCCCTGAATGTTTTCATTTTGTTCAGCAGTCGTTACCCTGCTGTGGGCTACTTCCTTCTTTTCCTCCATCTTGATTTTAATATGTATCATGACCTAGTTCCTCAGCAGAACTGTTTCTGTCTCACTTTATGTAGAAAAACAAAGGCGAACCACACATTACACATGACATTCCCTCTCCATAAAAAAAAATGGATGGCGGGGGTTGGGGGGGACTGGTAGAATTGACCTATTTCTTATATTCGAGTTTTGGTTAATTAGTTAGAGTGATATGAGAGTTGAAAAAGGGTTGATAAATTTATGTGACTTAGTCAAAAAGGAAATGGCAGCAAATAGTGCACCCCTGAGTGAAAACGTCCCAGTTGTGCCCACTTAGCCAATTTCCCTCCCAGGTGTTTGTGGATAGTTTGTATAACAAGGGGTCAGTTGTAAATGGGGAGCAGATGTTTTGAATTTTTCGTCATTATTCTCTCCCTCTGGGTTCTCTTTGGCAGCATGGACTCTGGCAGGGTTGTCCTTTGTCCCTGGTCCCGTTCATAACTGTTATGGACAGGATTTCAGCCCCAGGCCAAAGGGGGTCTGTATGAATTTTATATCTGCTTTTTGAAGATGATGAGGTTCTGCTGGTTTTCTATATCATGTGCTGGGGTGGTTTGCCGTGGAGAGTTCTGCCCTTTGCTCTTTGTGTTCTGTATCCTTTCTACCATGTTGGTCTTTTTATTTTTACCAGCGCTGAGTTCTTTAGTTACCCTCTGTTGCCCCCTTGTGATGTTTTCCTTCCCCCTTGGCTTCCTCCTAGTAGGGGTTGCCTACACCTGCTCCCAATCTGCTGATTAGCCTGTCTTGGTTCTGTCTCCCAATATATACACCACCTCTGCTGTCACTCAGTGCTGTTTGTTCTTTTGTTGCTTCCTCATCTGCCACTCTCAGCTGATATCTCCCATATCAGCTGTGCTGCTGCCATCAATACCTTTGTTTCTAGATGTTGGAGC